CTATGGATTTTCAAAGATTACCATTTATCTCCCAATACCAAAGTCATAAGAATCAAGGTTATAGCTGATTATACACATTTTTCCCTTTACATTCAAATACTGTTGTTAAACAATGCTTAGCTTTACTGGTTTTTGACACTTCGGTCGTGGATCTTCATATATTACTATCCATTCTTGAATAAATTCAGGAAATTATAACTGGAAAAAGCTATTCGACAAAATGTTCCTTTGATCGATTCCAAATTTAGGTTCTAAATCTGAATAATCTAGAAAAGGTTTTATAAATACCAATGAGTACATAATTATACAAATGAGTTCTTTCAGAGCATTGTGTTTGAGAAAAATATGATTTGTCAACCATACTGAGTTATACATAGTTCGCTTCACTGTTTATACGAATGGGCAATGGCACTATCATTATATTATAATTGTTAATTATTTATTTAAAATAAATAATTTTGTTATTAATTCCTTACAAATATTGAATTGTCATCCATACGTGATTACATAGCTGTCATTTGCTTGTTGTTATTCCAAGTCGAACGGGATAAAAGGTATCCTATGTCCTTCTCCTGGCTCTGAACCAACTTTTACCAACTTTACCAAAGCCAATTTTCAGTTAAATCGGTTCAGCCTTCTTGAGTTATAAGTTCCGACGATATAACTCCAGAATGCACAAACCGAATTCGACAATTTTGCATTCGCTGGAAAGGTCTGGGGCTCCGTGAGGTTTATAGCTGGGTTATAATATATGAGAACCAAAAACTAATATTTTATCACTATAGTTAACTTAAGGTAGTTGATTACTTCAATTAGACCTTTTTATTGTCGAATCAAAGCACATTTGCTGATAATATATATATATGCCAATTAGTTGTGACAACCTGAAACATTTTATAAGATATGTATAAAGAAATTACAAATTAACAACAATTAATGTATAACTATTTACATTTTTATTACAAATTTTGAGGTTATGTCAAGAAACTATATTTCAAAATATTTTTTTTATTAATTTGTTGATGATTATACTTATTGCTGATATATAATATAAACACCTCAAATACTCTATTTAAATACGTATAAACAAATATACATAAATACCTATTTATATAAATAATTACATTTCCATTTTCAAGAAATAAATTTCCCCATCGTCCATCTAGCATCGCTTGCTATTATTAAGAATTAATTTATTTGCCACTTTGTATTAATTTTCCGTGGCGATTAAAATATTTATATTATTCACGTAATAATTTTCAAATAATGGTCATTAAGAAATGCATATTAATATATTTGTATCAAAACAGAAACACCGAATGACAGTTGACAATCGAATGTAAATGTCATGGATGAAATCATTGATAGTATCATAGATTGAATAAACTACATGGATAGTTTATAAATAATTAATTTTGAATTAGAATGAAATAAAGGGATAAAAAGTATCCTAAGTCCTTCTCCTGGCTCTAAACTACCTCCCTGCCAATTTTCATCTAAATCGGTTCAGCCGTTCGTGAGTTATAAGTGTTATAACATAAAGCGATCCTCTTTTATATATATAGATTTATATATATATATATATATATACATATATATATAATATATATATAACACTATAAGCCCATACAGCATCACTATTAAATATCCATAGAAAATCCAGAAGTTTAATAATACCATTATTTGACATTTGGTGTTATTATCTTCATACGGACGTAATCAAAATCCTCTATATATGATCAATGATTTTACAACAATTAACAAATAAGTTCAGATTACAAACTCTAATCTAATTATTATATCATATTCAACATGTTTTGTTATAAATTATTCAATTATTTCAATATTAAACGTTTAAATATAAAACGTTGAATAAAACTATATTTTTATTCGGCTACTTTTGTACCATGTTATCCCTATTATTTATTAATTAATTAATTATTAATTTAATTAATCAATAATAAACCTTATTATTTTGACTATATGTGCTTCATTTTAGTTTTTATATTTTTGTATAATTATTTATTTACTTATTTATAATATAATAAAATACTAGTTTGTAATACCGAACTCATAATATTATAATGCGTGTAATTAAATAATACATATTTGTTTATAAAATATTGAATACAATTTAACTCATTTTTAATATTATTGTAATACGAGGTCGTAATATCCACGCTTTATGAATTAAAAGTGAGAAAAATTCTCAGTGCACCAATTAAGTACACAACTTACTTTACATTACATATTTGTTAATAAAATATTAAATTCAAGTCAAATTTATATGTAAATAGACTTCCTTCATACCAATTTGTTCAAATAATGTTTTAAAATTGCCGCGTAATATCACTGAGCAACTTAATTCTATATTAGCTTATTAACTTATTGATAACACTGAGCAACTTCATTTTATATTAGCTTATTAACTCATTTTTAATATTATTATAATACTAGATCGTAATACCCACGCTATATGAATTAAAAGTGAGAAAAATTCTCAGTGCACCAATTAAGTATACAACTTACATATTTGTTGATAAAATATTGAATACAAGTCAAATTTATATGATAAAAGACTACCTATTTACTAATTTGTTCAAATAATGTTTTAAAATTGCCGCGTCATTTCACTGATTAACTTCATACTATATTAGCTCCTATTGAAATAAATTGATAAAATGATGAAAATAATAAAAACGAAGATAAAACGTTTAATAATATCTGTTTTCCTCGAATACATTTGTACCATTTTGTTTAAAAAGTTGTTTAATTAATTAACTTAATTATTCTGACTATATGTGCTTCTATAATTTTTTTTATATTTAATTATATATTTACTCATTTTTAATATTATTATAATTATTAACTCATCTTTATTATTATTATAACACTAGGTCGTAATTCCCACGCCATATGAATTAATATGTTTTAATTAAGTACACAACTTATATATTTGTTGATAAAATATTAAATTCAAATCAAATTAATATGCTAATAAACTTCGTTTATACTAATTTGCTCAAATAGCGTTTTAAAATTGCCGCGTCATATCACTGAGCAACTTCGCACTGCATCAACTCCTATTGAATTAAATTTACAATGTATAATTGCAAATTTAAAACTCGCGCGATGTGACATCACCGCTCGCTCACATGTTGCACAAATTAGTTAATAATTTTTGTGGTGGCAACACTCCCCCACCACCTCTGAACACCCTCAGTTATCAATCGTCTTTAGTATGAGACGGACCTCCCCAGTGATAAGAACAATGGAAGAAAGTGCTTTGGATTATCAAGGTAGGATTTTTAATTACTATAAATCAATCTATACATGAATATATTTGAACTATATTCGATAATTAGATGTTATCAATTAGTTTAATCATATATTCAACCTAGATTTTGATTTGAATTAATATAATTATTAAGTTATTTATCCTAAAAGTGAATTTCATTTTCATGCTGAACCCAAGTGACGTTTCCGACGCGTGCATCAAAAGAAATCGTGATGCATCCTTGATTTATAACGACTTATAACTAATTTTAATAATGATTTCAGTGATTTATTTAAAGTTTCATCGTATTTTAGAAATATTTGTGATAAAAAAGTGTATTTTTAGCATCTAGTACCATGTGCACGTGGCGACTAAATATAAGGCATCCACGCATATGAATGCTTTATTACGGCTCCTAATTACCTATTTAATAAAGATTAATTATTATTTTCCAACAATTTTGATGATTTTGTGTAAAATTTTGCATTTTTCTGATGACGCCGCCTTCAAAAGGCTTTGCGTGCAGTAGACGCTCAGCGTGAAGGTGCCGATACACTGTAGAGAAATATCTAGGTAGAGTGTAGACTCTCTTGCTAGTGCGCTCTACCGTTGTCTGTACACTGTAAAGTGTTTTTTTCTTCCGAGAGCTCTTTCGTACTCTAGGAGAGAAGTAGGTGAAAGGTGCTAGAGCAACTCTACCTAGACACTCTAAAAAGCTATGTACACTTGTGGCTATATATATTAATATATATTAATCTAGGTAGAGTGTAACTTTGACAAGTAGACTATAGAAGTGAACTTCGTATTTGAGGTTAGTTCTTGTGAGACAATTGACAATTTTATTAGTGCATATTAGTTAGTGTATAGTTATTATAATAAAGCTATGTACACTTGTGGAAAAATATATTAATAAATATTAATCTTGGTAGAGTGTAAATTTGACAAGTAGACTATAGAACTGATATATATAGAAGTGAACTTCGTATTTCAGGTTAGTTCTTGTGAGACAATTGACAATTTTATTAGTGCATATTAGTTAGTGTATAGTTATTATAATAAAGCTGTGTACACTTGTGGAAAAATATATTAATAAATATTAATCTTGGTAGAGTGTAAATTTGACAAGTAGACTATAGAAGTGAACTTCGTATTTCAGGTTAGTTCTTGTGAGACAATTGACAATTTTATTAGTGTATATTAGTTAGTGTATAGTTATTATAATGAGTTCCCGGCGAAAACAAGGTTTAGCAGCATTGGTGGTATATAGTTTAGTTAAAAAAAGAAATAAGACAGTAAAAAAAAAATGTGGGTTAGGGAATGGATTGCCAAAAGAGAAGAAGAGGGAGTTTATGCAAAGTTGTTGAAAGAACTTGAGTATCAAGACGTAAGTTCTTATGAAAATTTTATAAGAATGACCCATCAGGATTTTCAGCATTTGCTGGAACGAATTGCTCCAAGAATTACAAAACAAGATACTCACCTAAGAAAATCAATATCACCATCTGAGCGGTTAACACTGACACTGAGATTTCTTGCTACTGGTAAGTGGTATAAAACAATTATTTAAAATAATACAAAAACATTTTTTTTACTATTTATTTATAAAAATTGTACCAATATTAATTGTAAATAAATTCTATTATAGGTGACAGTTATCAGTCATTAAGTTATTTGTTTCGGATTCCACCAACAACTATTTCTCGCATTGTTCCGGAGGTGTGTGATGCTCTGTACTTGGAATTGAAAAATGATTATTTGAAGGTATGAGAAAATGTTACATTTTGTCATAATATTGCGTTAAAGTAGTCTCGTTTTGCGTTGGAGAAATTATCTGGCATATTACTGGAGTGCTCGATGAACCGGAGTACTCACTCAAATTACTCAGAGACAGCATAGACTGTGAACTGGGGGAGGATACTCCTCGCATGTTGACTTCCTCATGTGCGTCTAAAATAGCTCTCTGAATCTTAAGTTTTAATTTATTTCGGATATCTTCATAGGGTAATACTCTCAACTCTGCAGTAACAAACTCTCCAAATACATCCAAGTGATCTTTCGGAGCTCGTAAACAAGCTAAAGCTTCATTCAGCAACTCATCATCCTTTTTAACTGAATCGGGTGCCCGTTTTTTATTTTTATGAGGTTTTGTAACAGGAGTCTGCCAAGACCCAGAATTATCTTTCATTTCCTCATCATGATGGTCCTAAAAAAAGTTAAAATAATAAATGAAAATTAAATGTTTTGTTCTTTTTTTTACAGATTTCTTGTACATCAGAGGAGTGGGAAAATGAAGCAAAGCGATTTGATGCTACTTGGAACTTTCCAAATTGCATAGGAGCTATTGATGGAAAACATGTGGTAATGAAGGCACCAGAAGACTCAGGAAGTCTATATTATAATTACAAGGGGACACATAGCATTGTATTAATGGCTCTAGTGAATGCTGATTACAAATTTTTGTACATAGAAGTAGGTTGTAATGGGAGAGTGTCAGACGGGGGTGTATATGCAAATTGTTCACTATCTAAGTGTTTGGAAAACAAGTCATTGAATATACCCGAAGCAAAGCCATTACGTGGCCAGTCAGTTCCGGTGCCATATGTCATTGTTGCCGATGACGCTTTTCCGTTAAAAACCTACATTATGAAACCATTCCCTTTTAGAGACCAACCTGTTGAAAATCGCGTTTTTAATTATAGACTTTCTCGAGCACGTCGAGTGGTAGAAAATGCATTAGGTTTGCTTTCGATGCGTTTTTGTTTTCTTAGAAAGCCAGTTGAACTATGTCCTCAGAAAGTAATGAAGCTAGTTCAAGCTGCTTGTGTGCTACATAATTATCTAATTGAAAAAAAGTCGACCAGATATGTTTCTGAAGGTACTGTTGACATGGAAGAAAATGGCAGGCTTATTGAAGGTTGTTGGCGAGATGACCCACTTCCACAAAATTCCTTTTATTCATTACAACATACAGGCGCAAGAAATCCAACATGCACAGCCAAGCAAGTACGCGAAAATTTTAGAACGTATTTTATGTCCAGAGCAGGTGAACTACCGTGGCAATATAAATATGTTTGATTTTTTTATTTATTAATTTATATATTGTTTTGTCATTAGATTTTTGTTATATGAATGTCAAATGTATCCTACAATAAAAATTTTAAATCACAATATGAATTTACTTTATTTACTTACCAGCACATCTGTAATAATATCAGGGGCACTGCCAACACTGACAATTGAATCCTTTGTTGAATTTATCTGGATATTCATAAACTTGACAGCCTCAAAAAACTCCCACTTCGGTTTATACCTTTCATCTGCGCCCTGACCACTTTTGAACTTTTTCATTTTTCTCAGATGCTCATTTAACTGGCATCTCAAATTATGAATTTTGTCTTTTACTGTTTTAACACCCAAATTTAAAGACGTTGCTATCGTTTCCAAGGACTGTTGTTTCAGGTTTCGATTCCTATACTCCTTCAACCTGATATTCCACAATTCTGGACGAGCCTCTACCAATTCAATTAATTGAAACACTTTATTTCTCTCCCAAACAAACTTTTCGCACTGTTCTTCATCATATAATGCTTCCATTTTCCAAAATCAAAAAAAAAACAACTTTTCTTTTTCAAATAAACACACGGATAAATAACCTAACCATACATAACCTAGCAAAGCAAAACAAAGAAAACTCTACGTATAATACAAAAAAATATCCAACAAGTTGAATAATGCTAGAGTTAACCGCTAGAGCGTGGAAGTTGTGCAGAGACGCCTGTGTACACTGCATATCATTTGTCTAGCGAGCTTGTCTACGGAGAGCGTAGACTGACTCCCGATAGAGTGCTCTAGTAGCTGTGTACACTATGGGACTCAACATAGAGCGCTCTATTAGAGCTCTAGTTAGAGCGACTCTAGCCAAAAACTCTACAGTGTATCGGCACCTTGACTCGGCGTTTTTGAAATCGTTCTCATCTGGAATAGTGTTGAGTTGCAATAGCTTTTGAGTGCTGCTATCAAAAAGTTTGTTCATTTATTTAGTTTATATTAATTATATAATATTATTTTTACAAAATTGTGTAACTTGCTTGCCGTGTTGCTTGCGCTTAAGACAATCATGAAGCATCCTTGATTTATAACAACGTATATCTAATTATGATCATGATGTTAATTAATTCGTTAATGATTTATCGTATTTTAGATAGATTTTTAACAGAAAAGTGTATTTTTCAAGTCGGATTCCATACCGAGGTCTGTTAATGCATCCACTCATATGAATGCTTTATTTCGGCTTCTATTCAGTTATTTTGCAAAGATTGATTATTATTTTCCAAAAATTTCGACGATTTTGTGTAAAATATAGCATTTTGATCATAACGACGCCGAGTCGAACATGACCATATTTGGGCATTGCAATGCGTTCGCTGAAAATGACTCATCACTTTTAAGATATTTGATTTAATTGAATTGTTTGAAATGATTTTTTTTATTAACGTCCGGAAGGAGAGGTTCATGTTTTCAACCAGAAAATATGATTTTCAATTTTTTTAAGCCATTTAATGTAATTCGATTTATCATTAACTATATGTGAGATTTCTCCTTCATTTTTCAAGTCGGATTCCATACCGAGGTCTGATAATGCATCCACTTATATGAATGCTTTATTTCGGCTTCTATTCAGTTATTTTGCAAAGATAGATTATTATTTTCCGAAAATTTCGACGATTTTGTGTAAAATGTAGCATTTTTATCATAACGACGCCGAGTCGAACATGACCATATTTGGGCATTGCAATGCGTTCGCTGAAAATGACTCATCCCTTTTAAGACATTTGATTTAATTGAATTGTTTGAAATGATTTTTCTTATTAACGTCCCGAAGGAGAGGTTCATGTTTTCAACCAGAAAATATGATTTTCAATTTTTTTTTAGCCATTCAATGTAATTCGATAGGATCTCGAGCTTATCAGTAAACTATATGTGAGATTTCTCCTTCAGATAAGCTGTATGAATGAGCGAGTAATCGACCCAACTCTTACAGCAGTTCTTACGCTGCACGCAATTTGTTAGTTTCATCTAAGTATTTTATTGTTAATATTAAAAATTAATCATTTTGTCATTGCTTTATATTGGACAGGTCCAGACTTGCATAAACTTATCTAAACTCGAGAAGCAGTACTAAGAACAGTGAAGCGTTTCTTCAGCATGAGAAATATATTTTATCTATTTCGTATCTTGGATCAAAAGTGCGGTGCTACCACAAAGCCTGTAAGTGTTCATCAATAAGAAATCTATATATTAATTTGTGAATGATTTATAAGTATTTCCATTTCCATAATTTAAGTGTTTCTTTAACAGGTTTATGATCCACTGATTGTGTGAGAATGATGGAAGTTTCTTATCAAAAGTGCGGAGATACCAAAAAATCTGTAAGAGTTAATTAATATGAAATCAGTATATTAGTGAATGATATAACTAGAGAGTTAATTTTTGTGTTTCTTTTTCAGATTCATGATCCAGTGGTGGTGGAAGTGTTTTTTTTAGTTTAGCTAATTTAAAGTTTTTAAGTTTTAAAGTTTTAAAGTTTAAGTTTCAAAAATGTAGTGTGTAAAGTGTTAGTGGGTGTAAGACTGATTAAAATGCCAAAATCAATAGGCCCTTAGTGCAAAGGTACGTAGAGTTAATTTTTAATTATTACATATGTTTATAATTTTTATAATAGCTTCAATGTATTTCTTATTTCTTACATTTTTATTCGTTGTCATTTTATTTCACCGCTTTCACATCATTACGAATTTTTCATAATATTTGTTCATGTACATACATTACAGACAAGTCGTGTTACTATCTTTTAAATTTTTATTATTTCGTCTTCTAATCGAAGCACTTTTATTTTAATATTGATGTTTTTGTGTAACTGTTTCGGTCTCTTATTTCAAAAATCTGCTTCCAACTTTTGTTCTAATATTCCTTCATTTTAAAATATCTACATTTTATAGTCTATCATTATCATTTGCCATTCAATGGCATTGTTCAATACGTCCTATTATTATACGTCTAAGAACCCGTCTTTAGTAATAAAGTGTTATCTTTTGCTACAATTCACATTATTATTTGTTGTAACACAAGTTATGTACATATATCGCACTTCTGTAGAAAGTTTTATTCATAGTCTTTTATTTTGAGTAATATTTCTTGTAAACTATTTTTATCTCGCATTTTCAAAAAAATCTCTTTTCAATTTTCAGACTCAATTTCGTTTGATTTTTTTTTATATTTTGCCTTTAATCACATGTATTATAATTTTACTTTGTCATACTTCTTTTAGTCTTACTTTTTTCCTTCGATGGTATTGTGCAGTAGGTATTTTTATGATAAAATATATATCCGATATACTTCATGTGACTAACTTTTTCCCGTCTCCCGTCGACCGTTCTCTGGCCGGTTGAGAATTACAATGTTTACAATGTTTTATTTAATTTAGCACATTAAAACATTTTGGCACATAGTTGTTTCAGTACATAGCTGTAATTATAATAGGCCTGTATATATTTGTTTAAAATCTAATTTTCTATAGTTTTATAAATTATTTTAAAATTTTTAATTTTTATAATGCAATCAGTAAAATTATAACTTTTATTCATCATTATTTTTATATCTCGTTATAATGAGTTTATTTAATATAGGTGTATGTTCCTGGTTTTTGGATATGCTAGCTGGTATATATTAAGTTGCTGATTGCTGGTAATCCTGTATTGGTGATTATTAGTTGCTGGTTGCTGAGAATGCTGGTACGAGCAAGAATAAAGCATAGTGGCAGATCGATAAAGGTTAGTGTTATTTTCATTGTTCATTTTTTTTTTGATTTTGCTATTTTAATCAGAGATTTTGTTGAGTTACACAAAGGTGACACTAGGGTTCCGCAGTTGTTCTATTGATATTTTATTTTTGTTCGAGGCGCACGTTGTTGAGGTGCTTTCACTGATTTGGTTATTAGGATTCTGTTGAAAAATAGTAATATTTTAGTGTGTTATGAAAATATATCTATCGATATTTTTGAGTTTTTTTTTAGCTTTTCTATACCAATAAAATTCTTAAATCTTCATTTGTTAATGCTGCGTAGCAGATATTATTTTCCATAAGTGGTCCTATTCAGCTTCTTTTGTTTCACATGTTGAAGATCTATAAATCATAAGAGTATAAGCTATGTTTTTAACATGTCAAGTTGGTATTTTAGTAAAAAATATGCAGTTCGCACTTAAATCAGTTCAAATATGATTATTTTGATAACGACTTGGAGTTTGATAACGACTTGGAGTTATTTTAATCTGAGATTTTGTTGAGCTACACAAAGGTGACATAAGGGTTCCGCAGTTGTTCTATTGATATTTTATTTTTGTTCGAGGCGTATTGAGATTTTGTTGAGGTGTTTTCACTGATTTGGTTATTAGGATTCTGTTGAAAAATAGTAATATTTTAGTGTGTTACAAAATATATCTATCGATTTTTTTTTGAGTTTTTTTTTTAACTTTTCCTTACCAATAAAATTCTTAAATCTTCATTTGTTAATGCTGCGTAGCAGATATTATTTTCCATAAGTGGTCCTATTCAGCATCTTTTGTTTTACATTTTGAAGATTTTTTTGATTTGTTACTTTTTCTTCATATTTACTATTCATTCCCAATGCTACATTACAAAACTGTTTTGGTGGTATTTTGGCACTTCTTTTGAAAATATATCAAATCCACAATAAACTCCTGAAGTTACTAAACTACATTTTACAAATTTTATTTCACAAATCAAGTCTCAATTTCACAAATTTAATCTTCTTCTTTTCTTTTTTAACAATAATGCTCAACGGTGACGCGTTCTTTGCGTACCGTAGGGGGCTAACTCTTGCGCTGCTTGCCGCCCGGAGTTATTCCTTTTTGTTAAGCCGCTCTGGCGCATGCGACGCGCGGGCTTCTTTCATGTACTACTAAAAATTAATTTTATTTTTATTAGGTTGTATCAAAAGTATCGATTGAGTATAAGCAATGTTTTTAACATGTCAAGTTGGTATTTTAGTAAAAAAAAAATTATACAGTTCGCACTTAAATCAGTTCAAATATGATTATTTTGATAACGACTTGGACTTGTCATAAGGACGCTTTTTTGTTAGTTTAGAACATGGTAATATACTTTGAAAAATATTTTTATAAATAGTTGAGTGTAATGTTGCGCAAAATATGCATTTTGTCTAGTATGTTTTATTGCCAACCGTATTTCTTCAACTTTGTTGAATAAATCTTATTTTCAAATTATTATTTTACAAAACTAGTATTATTACAAAACTAGATGTTAATTCGATTGGGTTGTTGCAGTAGGATGTCAAATTGGCTTCTTGGTAAAAATCAACTATTTTCATTGTGACAATGATAATGACTTAAGATTTGATGTTCTTTTTCAATAGTGGTCCTATTCAGTTTCCTTTTCCCAAACGATGTTCTATCTTCCTTATGTACTAGCTGCCTTATAATTAATTTTATTTTAATTATCTCGTGTCGAAAGTTTCGATGGAGTATAATCAACGTTTTTAATTCGTTAACCCTCCG